GTTTTATACTTTATATTTTGGCACCTGGTCAACATGTGAACAAATTGCTCACGAAACTACAATAGCACTTCTATTTTCGGAAAACAGGCGATTTGAAGCCTTTTCTATAAAGGGCTAGTCCCCTTCCGACGGTTGTACGAAGTTGAAAAGTCCAACAGAATAAATCCACACAAAATCTATTGGACGGATAATTTTTTTTCTCCGTATTTATAGAACAAGGTCCTTTGCAAGTGAATATAATAAATAAATTTTATATCATGGATATGATAAAACCGCTAGCTCATTTTTCATTCGCGTGTGCGTATCAAACTTGATCTGCCAGTTACGTTAGCTTTTAGTCAAGTCGAGGTCAAAAATGTCGGCTCTATTTCTCTACTTTGAGCCTTTATAACCCGAGATGTTTTTGACGTCTTACCTCTTTTAGGATTTTTTCATAAGATTTTGAAAGCGCTATAAATTAATATATTGTTTATTTTCATAGCATAAAATCAAGCAAAATAAGATTAAAAAATAATAATTTTAGGAAACGCAAACCATACCCAAAGGCACTGTTTGTTCATCTTTTTGTTTCTTCAACATTGACTTTTGCTTCTCTTCTTCTTGTTGTAGTTGACGTTTAAACTCGTCAAAAGATGGCATGTCTTCTGAAGGTGTATTGGTCTCTTGTTCAGCTTGTTTTAGCTTWGCTGTGATGCTGTCTTCATCTTTGTCATCTGCTACCGCAAGTGACTCAGATTTCTCTTTGCTAACGTCTTCTTGTGGTTCTTTTGTGTCTTTTGTCTCTTTCTCCATCTGTTGATTTTCCTTAGGCTTTTCCTCTAGTTTTTCTCCTTTCCTTTCATCTTGATCTTGCAGTTCTTCTTTATCTTCTTGTTGTTTGTCTTCTTTTTTTGTTTCTTTCTTTGGTTCAATATCAGCTTTTTCTATTTCCTCCTCCTTCTTCTCCTCGACCTTCTTATCGGCTTTCTCTTTTATTTCCTCGACATTTTCTGTTARMCTCTCAAGTAATTCCTTTTCTTTCTTTGGCTCTAAGTTTTCCTCTTCTTTCGTTTGTATGGCAACTTTGCTATCGTCAACTTTTTCCTCTGATTGAACTTCCWTTCCATCTTTYTTGCCAGATGGTATAAAATCGATGGGAACACTAGTGTCCCTGAAAAAAAAGAAAAAGAAATAGAGAGAAAGAAATAAGAATAATTATCATAAATTATACCTTTTGACCATCTTATTCTTCTCTTAATCTTAAACGTATATATATTTAGCTTTCTTGTTTATATGTCTGTCGTTTTTCAGGGGAGTTTTCACATAGGGCTAACCTCTTAACTTCCTTTCTAGATGCCTATTTTGCTATATTTTTCGTTTTGTATCTCGCTTTATACTGCTTTTATATTTGTATTTGTATAGTGTTGATTTGCATCTGGAATAAATCTTTATTGTATTGTATTGTATTGTATTGTATTGTATTGTATTGTATTGTATTGTATTGTATTGTATTGTATTGTATTGTATTGTATTGTATTGTATTACTGCTATCATTCAAATCTCAGACAAAGTGATAATAATCGAATAAATTGTACCTTGTATCATCTTGCATATTTTCTATCAAAGGCTTCTCGTTCTTTTCTCTWAAATCAGAACTTCCTTCCTGCTTCCCTATTATAGCCACCTTATCATCATCYTTTTTCTTTTCATCKTTATAAATAGCATTTAACCCAACATTGGAAGCCTTTGWGTCTGGAAATCGTTTCTYACTCTCTTTCACAGGTTCCTCTTGTGATACAGTCTCTGTATTACTTGTTTTGAGTRGCASCGATGTTGATATGGTTTCAACATCAAACTGAGGTGTGGCAGGGGCTACAGTTGGTAATACCAGCTGTTCAAGTTCAGATGTAGAGATGCCCACAACAGATGTCATGCCATTTGCCAGTTCAACAGAATTTGAGGACGATGATAACACAGATATTTCAGATGATGATGATGATAAAGATGATGATGATGAAGATGGGGAGGAGGTAAAATGTGCTGATGACTCAGAAACTNACAGGAATTTCAATCTGTCCACATCAATCCATGTTTCCTTTTCAATGTCCTTGATAAAATTCATATAGAGTCGCCTAAACGAGTTTCGCTAATTATTAGGAATTTTGGTATTCAAAATATGACAATACTTCATTACTTACAAAGTATGAAGGGATGGAAGCGAATGAAATGTTTTTTCATCCATGCGAATAATCCTGTTGTAACTCAAATCTCTAAAAGATAGAAGTAATGACAAAAGCCAAATGAGAACATTGAAAGAATCAGAGTTACAGCCCATAAATAATATAGACTGATATCATCAATGATTGGTCCAAGAGCTTGATTTGTTTCGCCTTAGACGTTTTGCAAGTTATACTCTGGTTTCCTAGACCTTTTCGCATGCATGTCCTGTTTCGTCAAGAAAAGCGAAATCGACCACAACAAGCGAATGTCCGCCGGTAAGGGTCGAGAATCCAAAATCAGTCGGTAAACTTTTTAATTTCACCTAAAGAAACCCTTAGGGAAGCTGTTTCAGAAAATCTTGATGTGAATGTTGAATTCCAATACCGTGACGCATCAATTTGACGGCAAAATTTGTATAAACTTCAACTGCAATATAATTTTTTTCCGGCATCGTTTTGAAAGCAAACAAAAATCCTTAACATTTTACAAATAGAAAACCTTTCCAGTGATAAAGAGTTTGTTTATTCCTGACAAATAAAATTGAATTGACTTCATTCGTGACACGTTTTGCGCCAAGTGAATGCCTTTAAAAGTGTAAACATGGTCGGACACAAATTGTCAGCACTAGACGGCATTTTAATTCGAAAGCACCAAATTTTATCTGCGAATACTTCAAAGATTATTCTTTACGATGGTATAAATATCAATACCAGGATCATATATCGTAGACTGAGTAAATATAAGCCAAATACGATCATTAGACAAAACGTGGAATATGGCAGTAAAAAAGGAGCTCAAATCAGACACATGTATTTTTTTCATTTCTTTTTTTTACTTTTTACATTTTCTTAAACTATAAATATTCGAATGGATTTGTGCAAAATTTGAGGTCCGTCGGAAGTTTCAGGAGAGTTTGGCGATACATGAAAGTTGGCCACATGGTCGATCTTCAAAAACATGAAAAAATCGGTTTTTCGAACTTTCKAAAATTGTAAAGCGCTCCGGAATCTTTAAATGTAATTTTCTGAAATAGGTTCCCTCAGTTTTTTTTAGCTGAAATAAAAATGTTTTGGTCGATTTTTCCCAACTGATTCTGGACTCTCGACCCATACCGACATTCTCTCTTAACGAACAAAACAAACCAAAACAACAAAAAGCAAGCAAAAAAGGGAGAAAAGAAAGCTTACATAAAAGACAACTTTTCGAGATTATCGAAGGTATGTCTTCTTATGTGGAAGATTTTATTTCCAGAAAAAAAGCTGAAAGAAAAAATTAAATAGAATTTATACTTACAGCAGTTAAAACAATGATTGTGGAAGGGATGGTGATTATTATAATTATAGAAGTATATGGAGTTAGTATCATAGCAATGATCTTTACATCATAAGAACCTGGGTTTTAAACTAATATTTTCATTTTACAGTGTAAGTCGCATTCACATGATAACCTATCGAGTCTAAAATAAAAAATAAGGCTGTCAGTAATTTAATTATTGAATGAAAAAAAATATTAAATTGACATCACAATCTGTTTAATGGACCTTGACATAACATTCTTTTCTCCTTTTTAGAATTACTATGCTACGTTCACTCGTTCGATTTCAGATAAATCACGAACTCCTGCGGGATTAATCTCTAAGTCAGCACTTTCAAGTCTTTCCTGATTGGATGAAACGCATTTCGGGCGTGTGAGAAATTCGTTTCGCTGCTCTGCTTGGCTAGTTAATACTTTGAAACGGAGTTTCATAAATATGTGAAAAAAAATCTCATTATGTGTATAATAAATTAAAACGATCATAAAACACATATGAAAATATTAGAATCTATTTTTCCCAAAATTCGCCGTAAAAATGACCCTATTAAAGTACCATTTACTAGATAAGAACCCATTAAACTTCAAAAAGCTGTTAGTAAATATCAGATGACAAATAAATTTGAAAGTTGAAACATAAAATTGGAAGCTTTTTTTACATGACTGTTGTTTCAC